TCTTGCATGTTCAACATCCCATCCAGAGGGCAGATCTAGATCCAATTTACTAGAGGTGTGGTGGAGAAAGGACACCAAGTCCCTGTGATTCTGGCTGGTAAATGGGAAAGAACAGTAAGGGAATTGAAAGCTTTTTATTACTAAACCTGTTCCTTTTCTTCCCCTCAACTTTCCATCAACAGGGCCTTCTTTTCATCTTATTGCTTCACCTGCTGCTTTCATGTTGATTGTCCCCTCCATGCCCTGCACATTGCTGCACCTCTGCTCTTCTCTGCCCCTGATCAATGCTTCTACTCATTACTCTCACTCATTGGTCAAACCTCTATGCCTTTAGGCAAATTTTTTTTTTTTTTTAAATTCGGCCTTATATTTAGAGGCTTCTTTTGGAAATGCCTAACACTAGGCAGGCTCAAGCCTGTTGTTTGACAAACATGGATTACATTAATCCTGTCATTCAGCTTTCCTCAAATGAACAGGTCCTGGTATTTTGTCAAAATAATACATCAGGTGGTAAAATAATGGTTTGCTTAGCAGTTGTTCTTGAATTTCTGCAAAGAATATTTGTGTTGCCTTTTAGAAATTGGTTGGCTTTTTTTCTCCATTATCTGAAGAAATTTTAAAGGGTGGCAATTTTAAGTAATGTATGTGGTGGTTGGGGTTTGGGTTTTTTTTTTTTTTTAAATGTATAAATGAAAGAGGGGTAAAAAGCTATTTAAAGACCTTCTTCCTAACTACAGAAATTATTTTCTGATGTCCTTAATTAATACCCAGCCTTGTGTTCTGCCTCTTTTTTTCAGTGATGAAGCTATGAGGAAGGCTGGTGTTGCCCATAATAAATCCAGCAAAGATATGGAGAGTCATGTGTTTATGAAGGCCAAAACAAGGGTAAAGCATCTCTATTTGTTTCCAGAAGTTACTGGGTTGTCAAAAGAAGTTTGGAACAACCCGCAGAAATAGCAAACCCAATGCACCTTGTACTCTAAGCAGAGAGAGTTAACTTACTTATGCAAAATTTTTTATTTATATGTGCTTCTTTTATGCTGAGGGGAAGTGAGGTGGTTTGCATCCAATATATGCATCAAACTGGACTCCAGTCCAAGACAGCTTTGCTGGTGCTGCAGCATTTAATGCATATGTGGGACTGCACTTAGTTCTTATCTGAAGGCTTGTATGTAGTGAATTGCATAGAATTTCCTTTATCTACAGTGTAGCACCATTCCGTATGACCCGTTTGGTGGTCAGGAGAGACTAAGATATCAATGAAAAGACTGTGTTAAGAGTAAGACAAGGGAAGTGCTGTGGTCTCTGTGGAAGTCTGGTTATCATGGACAATTCTAGACTACCAAAATATAAACTTCTTTCCTGGAGCTGTGTTATGAGAAATTGGATACTGTTGCTGTCTCCAAACAAGCCACGTCTGAGAGAGAACTTGTCTTGGTGAAAATTTTATAATGCTGATGTCAGAAATTTATGCCTGCTGATGGCATCCTCACTGGTGAGTTGGCAGTTCCGTGGGCAGGAAGGCTATCTCAGTCCTGTGCAGTTTCTCCTACACATTATAAAGCACACTAATAAAATGAGTATTTGTCTTTTCACTTCTGACACTTCTATCAATGTTAGTTTTTAAAGTTGTTAACTTAGGTGTATTTGTAATACTAACTTAGCTTAAAAAAAGTTCTTGCAGTCTGAATGTGACATAGTTCAAGGACTGAAGTCAGTGTACCAAGTAAGCAGGTTCAATCCTTAAGAAAAGAGAACTAGAGTGGATAAGAAGTGGAAAATGGATGTGTTGGTTTATAATTATGTTCACTTATTGTGATCCTATCGGTGTGACCGTCACGGAGGTTCTTCCCAGTGAATTTTGTGGTATCTTGGCCTTTTTGTACCACCAACCACAATGACCTATTAGTAAAAATATTCTCACTGAGTTAATGAACAGACTGTTTCTTGCAAGTGAACTGCTCTGAAAGGCCCACAGACATTGTAAAGTAAAATCTGTTATGTTGAGGAAGAATACTGAAGAACAAAAAAGTTATGGTTGCAATGTTCTTATCTCCTATGCTAAAATACTCATTTTTCATCTTTAGGAGGAATATCTTTCTCTTGTGGCCAGACTTATTATCCATTTTCGAGATATTCGTAAGTAATTGTTTGGATTTGGGTTTTTTTTTCCTCAGTAATGGGATTGCTTATCCCATCCTCCCAAAAAAAAGTAAATTTTAGGGTTTGTATGTGTGGTTCTGCATGTGACTCTTCACAAGTTGCTTTAAAAATTTTCCTGTAATACACATGCTTAATTTCTAAATACTGTTTCTTTTACACATCCATCTATAATTGAAAAGTCTTTGAGAAATTATTTAAACTTTTTCCACCTTCCTAATTTTTTTCCTGTATTTTTGCTGTCTTGCCATCGTTTATGTAGTGTTCTGGTTACCAAATTGGCTTAGGTTAATGTGTTTTGCTGGAACTACAATAGACGGTGATTTTTAAATTTTTAAAATTATTATGTAAGTATATTTCTTGTAGAGAATATATCTGAAGGACCCAATTTATGTGTGACAACATTAACAAAGGCAATTAATTGTTCTTCTTTTGCAGACAGTAAGAAATCTCAAGCCTCAGTCAGTGGTAAGAGCTCCTTTTTTTTTTTTTTTTTTTTTTTTTTTGTCTTCCTTCCCCCCTCCCTTTCTACATAGAACAGCTTAGAAATCAGGGCTGTGGTGTACTAAGAATAAGGCGGCTGTGGATTCCCTGGCTGGAATATTAAATGCTGCTGGAGGAAAGGAAAGGTAGCATGATAGTCTTGGAGTTGTTCAGTGATGAGGGTGACAGGTTTGGACAGCATTTTGGATGTAACACAGGAGACTTGTTTGTTTCCCTGTGTGTACTTTTGTTAGCTCACAAAGCTAAGATTCTTGAAAGAGCAAGAGTGACTGAAAATAATCTCCTGCTGAGCAGTCCAGGTTTTTCCATTACCAGCTTTGGGTTCCTCAGTGTGTTGCATCAGAGGCGATCATTGTGTTTGTGGGGCATATGTGGTCTGCCATTTGACTGAGGTTAGATCTGATCATGTGCTAATTCTTACAGCAGTGTATGCTAGGAACGTAGTATGATCCTCTATTTTTTATCCCCTTGTAGGCTAAATATGCAGTGTCTGTGATTGATTAACTTCCAGCCTAGACAGTTGGAAGTTATTTTATAAGTATTCTTAAGAAATATTCTTAAGAAAAAGGGGGTGTTGCTGTACCTGATTAATACTGCTTCTGCACCCCATGTTGTGTTTTGCCCTCTTGAATTGCCATTCCGTCTTTGACTTCACTTTTCTGTGTGCCTAGGATTCAGGTTATGACAATTGTCTTGAAAGGCACTGAGTTTATCCACTGCATAATAAACGTGATGTTATGGGGGAAACTGTATAGCAAAGTACTTTCTCTGCTCTGAGCACTGCTTCTCCATGTTGACCTCGGGAGGAAGAGGCTAATTGGATCCACAGTGGGACTCTCTTGGTTTTTGAGGTTACAAGCTGGATATCCTCATGGAGTTTTGTTGGCAGCTTGTTTTGACTTGCATATAAATTCAGAGGTGGCTAATAAGTTCCTTTTCTCTAGTGTATTTAGAATCTATTTGCAAATCTGAAAAAATTTGCAAATCTGAAGCACTTTAAATAATCTCCACTCTATTTACAGAGAGGCAAAGATGTGCCAGAAGCATCTTGTGGTCTCACAGGCAGAGCACTGAATGTTAGATTCTCTGGGTATTAGATCTAGTCATGGTCTGAAGCCAACAGATCAGAGAGTGGGTGGTGGAAAACAGAGGATTTTGGGGAGGCAATTGCATGGCTGGCTGCATATTGGTAACTATTTTCTTTGTAGATCCGATGAATGCCCTGCAGAATCTAACTGGAGGTCCCCCAGCAGGGGCGCCCGGAATGGGTATGGCTTCCCGAGCTCAAGGAGCACCGATGAGTGGGATGAGTGGCCTTGGCCCAATGGGACAACAGATGAGTCTCCCAGGGCAGCAGCAGCCTCCTGGAACCTCAGGAATGGCCCCTCATGGTATGCCTGGTGTCTCTACAGCTACTCAGCAGAGTAAGTGTTCCGTTTGCTTCAACCACTGAAATTGTTGGATCAGTCTTTCAGTACATAACTGTCTTTCACAAGGAAAGGGTGCTGAAGAGATTCCATACTTCTGGCTAAATCAGCCAGGTGAACTGCAGGAAGAATTGATTTCAAATACTGCTACCTAATAGGATAAATGTCTTCCTTAGTATAGTGAGAAACAGTCTGGTGGTTGTATGAGCAAATGCTTCTTTTGTCCTACAAGACGTCAACTTCAGAACTTGGTTTTTGTAGAGCTCACTGGTGTTTTCTATGGGTACCGTACTTCCTGCTAGCGAGCTCTGTGCATATTTCCTCCTGCGCATTTTTACATTCTTTACCTAGGTTGCTGACTCAATGTAGGCAGTGAAAATTACAAGTTGGTAGTAGGAAATGTCATTAATTCAATGAAGAACATTAATGCACTGTAGGGATTATCTTCAATTATTATGACTTACACTGGGTAACTGTCTCTTGCGCTGTTTGGCTCTCATGTTTTAAGTACGGTCTACCTTCTTTTTAGCCCAACTTCAGCTTCAGCAGATAGCTCAGCAGCAACAGCAGCAGCAGCAGCAATTCCAGCAGCAGCAGGTGGCTTTGCAGCAGCAGCAATTCCAGGCCCAGCAGTCAGCCATGCAACAACAGTTTCAGGTCCAGCAGCAGCAGGCAGCAGCAGCTGCAGCAGCCCAGCAGCAGCAGCAGCAACAACAGCAGTTGCAAGCCGTCCAGCAGCAGCAACAGCACATGCTGAAACTGCAGATGCAGCAGCAGCAGCAAAACCAACAGCAGGTGATGACAAAGAGTTACAATGGCAATTGAGGTGAACTGTGTTCAGTTACTTGTCAAGTGAGGCTTGGCTTGCATGGAATTACTGAATATCAGCTCTGCCTGTTATAAAACGCGTTTCCACTTTGGGGTAGGACTTCAGTTTAGACTTGCAAGTTAATTGGCAACAACATATTACATCCCAGAGGAAAGGCTTAACAGTCATTTGGTTGTTTTCTTCTGTAATAGCAATAGAGAACTAAAACCTTTGTCTCTTTCTCTATATATAAACATCAGGATAGTCTTTCATTCTGACAAGAACAAGGATGTAGGAAAGAACTAAAAGCATTTGTATTACTCTAGAAATAGTGGCTGTTTTGTCATTCTGTGAATTACACATTGCCACTTTAAAAAAATATGTGCTGAGCACATCATATATATCTATCATCCTTAGGCACAAAAACAGAAGAGGAAACTTCAGCTGTCATGCTCTTGTGCTTCTGGTATTTCTGGTAAATAGTGGTGCTAATGCAGGCTGGCTACATTTGAAGTGCTTCTGAGCCCATTTGTACAGGAGAAGCTGATGGACTTCATCATTGCTTTTGAAAACTGTTTTAGTAGAGAGACAAGCTTGTAATATTGAAACCATGGGATGTACACTATGTAGAGTGGAGATATATGAAGAGTGAGTGGATAAAAAGGTTGGGCTTTCCCTTTGGACTTAAAACCTTAGCCTGATGTATTAGGCTTCTGTTTGCTCTTGGTTTATGCTATAAAAATAAGGCTGCTATCACATTGCTGGAAGCTTTAGCATCCTGGCTTTTCCTGTTTTTCAGATGCAGCAGCAACAGCAGCAGCAACAACTACAGCGAATTGCCCAAATGCAGCAGCTGCAGGCCGCACAGGCTATGCAGGCACAACAGCAGCAGCAACAGCAGCAACAAATACCACAACAACAGATACAGCAGCAGCCACCTCAACAAGTAATGCAACAGCAGATGCAACAGATGCAGCAGCAGCAGCAGCAACAGCAGCAACAACAACAACAGGTTGCTCAGGCACAACAATCTCAACTTCCACCACAATCCCAGCCGCAACCCCAGCCCATGGTATCTCAGCCACAGGCAATCTCAGGACAAATTCCTAGTCAGGTTATGCCTGTTACCCTTACGCCACAGCAATTAAAAGCAATGCAGGTAAGGGCTAGTGACCAGCTGATTGCTGGTTCATTATGATCCTCTAGAGAAATAAAAAAAAATTTCTTTGATTTTTGCTAATAATGAAGTAGGAAAAAACATAGTGTATTAAGAGATCTGTGGTTAGCATGTTATGCATATGGAGAGTTTAAAGGCTTATGTCTGGGCCTGCCAATAGAGAACAGTTTTGTGTCTAAGAGTAGGACTTCTGGAAATCTGTGAAAACCATTTATGCAGCTAATATTTAAAAATAATTTCTTGTCTTACTCTTGAATGGACAAGTTAAAAAAAGAAAAAGAAAGAACTGGTTAAGGAAAAATTGCCTCCATGATGTTTGCTGTTCCAGAACATGAGCAAGTGCTTCGAAGTACCTAGTGCATGTGACTGGTGCCAGTGTTGGCTCTCTAGCATGCTGGCTTTGCTTCTGCTGGCATGTTTAGAGGTTTTGGTCAAAGTTTAAGATACCGGTAGTTCCTGCCTTGAAGAGAATGTGGAAAAGATAATAGTTTTACTCTGTTGAACCTCTTGCAGGGTCATCCTTTTAATGGTGCAGCTTTTTGAACTGTTGCATTACCGTCAGTTTTTTCTGGGCTCCATATGTGCTGTTGAGCAGAAGCTCAGACGTAATCCCAAGACCTGCTTTTCTTTGGGCCTTGCTGGGGAGGCGTGGAGTGTCAGCCATACTTGAGGAAATACTGACCCCACATGGACAAGTTGATGACATCCACTTTGTGCTCCTGCCAGCTAAGCTAGGAGTAGTTAGAAGGCATGTACATCACACTGACAGTCATAACGAATGTATACATGTTTGAAATGCTCATCACTGGTAGGTGCTTAAGACAGTGTGCTTGAGAGAAATCAACATGTATGTGGTTAACTGTGTTTGCCAGAAAGTTGAAGTATCTGGTATTGTCATAGGAAGACCTGATAGTGCAGGGAAGAAGTTGCAAGAAGAAATCGAACCTTGGGTGCACAGTCTATGGGAAGACTGTTCTAAATGTTAGAAATACGGGAACTTGTTCTCATAAAGCAAGCTCAGAAACTCTAAGAAGAGTATGTAAGTGAGGCTGATATTCTCTCCACACCCTTTTTTATGAGTAGTCAATACAGTTAAAACGGAAGTGTCATACCCAAATCGGGTATGTATGTTTACTTTGTTCTCTCTTTTCATACTCAAGGTAAGAGCTCAGCTGGTCCAGCAGCAGCAGGCAGCAGCAGCAGTGCAAGCAGCTCAGGCCCAAGCTGCTCAGATGGGAGCTTCAGGGCAGGTAAGGGCCCAGAGCCAGTATCACTAGTTACAGGCCTGTAGCAAGTGCATGCTAGAGATGAGCATGAAGATGGGTTTCTGGTGGCTTTCTGATGAGGGGTCTGACACTGGTCATCCCCTTTATTAAGGGGATATGGGCTTTTATGCTGTTTCTCCTTTGCCTGGAGTCAGAGGCAGGATTTCATTGACAACCTCTCTGTGCATGCTCTCTGTCCCGAGTAGGTAAGATTGTTGCCTGTACTGACACAGGAATGCACATCAGTAAGATGGCCTACTGTGGTCATGCTGCAAGACTGACTCTTGGTACCTGGAGTGTATCACCTCTTCTTTCGTTAAACTTTCTTAGGTGACTGCTTTGTTGTGTAAACTATTTCTGTACTGTGAATCTTTGCCTGCTATCTTTAATCACATCTGATTTACCTTCCATCTCCATGTATCGACCATAAAAAATAGTATAGACAATGAAATCTCTCTGCACTCCCCTTTCATTCCTTTCATCTTTCATTCTTTTTCTGAGCAAAATGGGCAGTAGATTGCTCTTGTTCTGGATGTGAATTGTGAAGAAAAAATGGCATGTGTCACAAGTGCAGAGTTACATTTAAAAAAGAAAAAAAAAAGTGCTGGGTGAAAGCTTGTTGTCTAACACAGTTTTCTTATCCTGCAATACACTTGTAGCCCCAGTGATTGTTCCTTGATGTGTGTCTGGTATGAAGGAGACATGGGCAAAAAAAATTGGGAATGGCTTGAGCTGAACCTCTCATCCCATTTTCCACAAGAATATGAAATAGTCTTTCGTGGCTTACCTCTGTAGTGTTTCATATTGAGGCATTTTACAGACATGGGTAAGTACAATTATCACCACTTTGTAGATGAAGAGTCTGAGGCAGACAGATGAAATGAGGTTGTCTAGGATTAATGGCAGAGTTCTTTTCATATACCCAGACACTCCATGTCTGTATGCACCATTTTCCCTTCAGCGCACAAGTAATATTATAGATGCAGTAAGACATTTGGAAGCTTTTTACATGGACTGTGATAACAATTGGTTCTTCAACATACATCTCCCAGCCTTGTATCAGGAATAGTGTCTTGTACCATCATAACTCTCATGTGGCCCACATCCTTGTTGGTGGCTAAGTTCTGTTTCTGTATTGGTCCTTCTGCTTGTGTCAACGTAACACAGGATGTAAAAGCTAAGCAGTGGTAAGTACAGTTGGTACAATACTGGCAGCAACACAGAATTCTCTTTCTACAGTTGAAATGTGAATTAAAACTTCTGCTTGTTTCTTAAATAATTTCCAGGTGGGAGCTGCAGGGACATAGGCTGACTGGAAGGACACTCTGACTTTTTTTCTTTTTACTAACTTAATGGTGCTCTTTTCAACTCCTAAGCAGATGGATTGTGCTTATGTAGAGTCAACTTAATTCTTGCCCTGTTTAGTGAATTCATATGCCAGTGGCTTAACAGCACAGTGCATTTGAAAAGTTTTGGGTGATAAGATGGTTTACAGTGGGTTTTGTATTGCAGCTTTATTCAGACATGTGTAGGAAAGTCAGGGATTGCTCATCTATCATGGATGGAGTTTAGAAAATTCCACATATAGGCTTTACTCCATTTATGTTCATGCCATTGCAATATGAGTCTACTAAAATTCACTTAATACTGTGAAATCCAATAATTAAATAGGTTTCTTGTGCTTGTGTAAGTATTTTCTGTATATAATATTTAGTTTTAAGATTGTGGCTGTGTACAATATTATAATGCAGCTTTGGTGTTGAAAGTGTATATGGATTTTCTTTAATTTATAAGAAATTTCTTTTAAGATTAGATTTTGCTTTGTATTTAGTACATTTTTCACTAGCATCAGCATTTTTAATAAATCTGTTCTTCATTTGGTTCAGGGGAGCTTTTGTTATAAACAAACCTTATCCTAATCTTTGCTTGTTACATTTAAACTTAGTCTCTAAGAACTTTCAGACTGGGAATTTTGGTTGATATGGCTGTGTTTTTCCTTTTCTGTAAAATTTCTATTCATCCTTCCTACATAAAAGTAAAAGCAATCCCAAGTTTAAACATGGATCCGTGTGAGTGTTGAAGTTCCTCTCTGAAGTCATAAAGACACCATGCAGGTCAATGTTACCCTGCTTGGGTGCCTAGCCCTTGTGAGCATGTAACTCACAGGTGAAGCTGATAAATAAACAAAGTAGTGTCCTAGTGACTGCAGAGTGCTACACAAGTGCTTGCAGCACCAAGAGAAAATCTGTAATCAACTGGAGTCAAGTATTAATAAAGTCTAAATCACTGTACTGGTGCAATTCCTTCAGGTGCTCAGAATGTAGATTGGCTGTTGCTCTTTGAAAATCAGAGCTGCCTTTTGTGGAATGGCAGTGGCACAGTACTTACAGATGCTCACCAGAAGCTGCATATTTACAGAATTCTGAATCTTCTGATTTTAGATGAAAGAAAACTACAGGTTCAGGATTCTAATTGTTATAATCCATTTCATTTTTTTCAAATAATGGGTTTTGTATTTTACAGTGGAAGGAGACTCTCTTCCTCTGCTTGCTCTCTGTTTTTATGGGGTAAAAGTCTTGATTCTGTAAATTGAGATAAATCAGTTTCACTTGTGGAGGAGGATTTGCCTTCAGTTTAAATCTTTTCCAAAAGTACTTGAACACTTCTGGTTGTCTTCTGGTTTTAGACTGACAAGAACTCCTCCTTCATGGATATATTGCTTTGCATAAAACAGATGAAATCTTTGGAACCCCCTTTCCTGACTCCTTTGTCAAAGGGTCACAGGTTTCATAAATGTAAATCAGCTGGAGAATGGGAAAAATAGATCAATTTTGTTAAGAGAGTGAAATTGGTGTTGCTTTATATATACACTTCTTTTCCAAAGCACACATTTAAAAAAAAAATACAAAAAATCAAAACCAAAATTGTGTGCATGTGCATAAATGTTTGACCAACCACAATACAACAAACAGCTGCAAGCCTTTGAATCAGAGTTTGTCATGCTGGTGTTCAGTGGTTTGCCAGACACTTATACTGTGAATATGCTTCTAACTTCCTTGACTTCAGAGGAAGTAATCTAAATCTTCACACTTTGGTGGTGTGGCATGAGAAACAGGACCAAGATGGGACATGCGGGTCACCATAACATCCCTGGGATTTTGCACTCTCCAGAGATCCATGTGCGTTCACAAGGGTCTAAGATGGGGTGATTGTGCCTGGAAGGATATGTTAGGTGGTTTCCCCAGCCCCCCCCCCCAGCAATTTCCCTTTTTTTTTGTTTGTTTTTGTTTTGTTAGGGTTGTGTTGCTTCACCAGCTCTCATGTTGATACTGTAGCTCTTCACTGCACTTTGTAGCATCCACCTGTGCTTTGTGCCAGTGCTGGGTTGTTGTGTTTGCTTGTGGTGGCTGTTGCATGCTGTGTGTGTACATGTGCATGTGTGTGTGATGTCTGAAGTGCTCTCATTTGTTTCCCTTTTGAAATCCTGTCTCTGACCATCCCTCTTTGCCTGGATGGAAAGGGACTGCATTGCTCTGATGTTGTGAACTAACAGCTGTGCTGAATTTGACACAATTTTCTTTATCAGTTATTGCTTTCCTTTTTCAGTCTTGCTATGTTGTATTTAATTTTATTTATTTTTAACAATTGTAAGCACATGCATTCTCTGACTCTCAAGAGACATGTTGCTGGCTGCTTCAGTCCATTTACATAGAACACTAAGCAAGAATGCCCCAAACCATTTACTGAAAGGAGACTTCATTAACTTGTAGGTTAGTTAGGGCCTGTGTAGGTTTCTTGGTAATATGTATGCTGGAAAAAAAAAAGTAGTCAAGAGAAATTTACTGTAGATCTTTGAAGTACCGAACAGAAGCTCTTTTACTGATAAGTGAATTTGCCAAAGTTACCTGAATACTACCTCAAAAATTTGCTGTATTTGCTGTAAATTCTCAGCATATATGGCCTAATACCAAATTTTAAGTAACAGAGGGCTACACAGATACATCTGATTAAATCTGTGTGGCTTGTGCAGGCTGATGGTTCTGAAAGGCACTTCTAGATGCTGCAGAGTAGCATGGTCCTAAGACTATTTTAAAATACAAATTCTAATGTTAACCTTCATTTGTCCTAAACGATTGTACTTTAGGGTGTGCTCAGTCTATACATCTGGAGAATCAAATAGTGCATCAATAAGCTTGAGGCAGATTGTGGACTCATAACGGAATATTTTAGCACAGCTTAGTAATAGAGGAATGGGTATTTGTCAAAATGATGGAAATTACAAGGATATATTTGACTTATTCTATGGGTTATAAAAGGAAGGGAATAGCTTTTTCAAACCCAGAAGTCCTTTTTGTTGTCTTGGCATTGTTATACTGTCATAGGTTAGGTTGGCCTGAAATTTTGCTCACTGTGGAGCATTCCTACTGACAGTTGCTGTTGAACTGTCTGCCAAATTCTTTTATATGCAAATACAAAATTTGCATTTGCAAATACTACTAAATCCTATGAGTCCACAGTGGGGGAAGCACATCCGAAACCTACGGCATTATACAGCTTCTTATATGGAACATTCTTGACAACAATCTTAGAGTACTTATTTCCAAGAATTCTAGAAATTTAAGATGTCGGGCAAAATTTAGGAAAAGCCCTTCGTGCAAATGATAGCATAGTCAACCCTTGATCCATGAATTTGAATCTACATATCGACTCTCTCAAGAAACCTAGAATTCATTAGATGCTTTCTAAAAATGGATAGAAAGGATATAAAAAGGAGATTGATTTATAAGCTAGCATGTTAGGTTAACCTTTAGAGAAAAGCTCACTAACCTTCCCTTCATGCTCCCCCTAATTCCTGGAGGTTGCATGTGCTTCTCATCCTGCCAGTGCACTGCATTTCTTGTTTTGCGATTACTTTTGTCTGTTGTCCCTCTGTCCTCAAAGATGATCACCGCACCTATGGCCCGAGGTGGGATGCAAATAAGACCACGGTTCCCGCCTACCACCGCTGTGTCTGCTACGCCGCCAAGCTCCATTCCTTTGGGCGGACAGCAAATGCCACAGGTATTTACTGAGTCAAAGCACATTGTGTCAGGAATTGTGCAAAGCATTCAATACGTGATTGTATAGCACTTGCTTTCAAGCAAGGGGAAGTTCACTTTTTCATCAAACAACTAACTTGCTGGTGTTACTCAGGGTATTGGGCTGTTTAGGTTTTTTATGGATCCTTTTTCATTTTAAATAATAGGTTTTCTGAGAGCTTGGGATATCAAATAAAGCATTTTTTAAGTGGCATAGATATTTATTTTAACATTTGAAACACTTCTGTGTTCATAATTAAGTCTCAAATTAGAACTTTGTGGTTTCTGTTTAGTCTCTGTCCATACTCCACAAGTGTGCATTTATGAGAGTGTTGCCAGTCAATACTGCAGTGTGCTGGCTGAGTTGTGCCTGGGACCTTATGTGTTCATGCTCTGTACAGGTGCTTCTTTCATTAATAGTAAACTTGGCTCATTTCAGTTTGAGTAGCTTCTTGGCATGGTATCAGGGACCAAGAAAAATGGAGCTGTTCTGTTCTTTCATGGTTTTGTAAGAGGAACGGCCAGAAGGATTCCACTTGTACCTGCACCAGAGAAGAACCTGTGTAGGCAGGCTGGCAGCACCTATCCAGCTGTTGCTGGAAGATGCGTGAGGTCAGAGTACTGCATCTGCCTGGTGCAGGTCTGGATCTACTAAAGACCTCACAGTCATGTTTTGCAAGCAAAATGTGTCATATTGGGGGAGCGGGAATGGGGAGAACTAGAATGAAATGAAACTGAGTTCTTACCAGTAAGTCACAAAACGAGGCACTGCTCTGCTCTGCAGAAGTTTGCTGAGCCCTATGTGGTTGGTGCTGGTTTAAATGCGTATCGTAGTTTGATGGTGGAATAGCATTCAACTGCATTTTTCTATCTGTTACTCATGAACCTCATGTCTTGTTCTTCTAGATGCTAATTTTCAAATTTAATAGCAGGTGCAGTTTTAGTTCTTAATACTGCTGCATTTTGTTCATAGGTTTAATGAAAGTTTCTTCACTCTTTGCATTTTTATTTCCTTTGCAAGCTTGTTGTGGGGCTGTGGAATGTCTGAAACTCTGCTTCCTAGTGCTGCTGCATCAAGTGTAGTAGGCACAGCCTTTTCTTCTCAGGAATTTGCTAAGGTAGATACAGTGACCAGAAAGATTTTGCAAACTTAGGCAGACACATCTGTTGTTTCTGGTTTAAGATGGATGGTCATTTCAAACCAGGTCATTGTTGATATGTTAACTGAAATAAAACCCAGGCATAGCTGTTGAGTCAAAGGAGAATTTACTTGGAGCTTTATTTGCTGTAGCAGTTTATATATACTGAGACAATCATAGAATCATTTAGGTTGGAAAAGACCTTTAAGATCATCCAGTCCAACCATTAACATAACATTACCAAGTCCACCACTAAACCAGTTAAGGGTACAGTAGTAATTTCATGTTTCCTGGCTTGGTGGCTGGATTATTTTTTAATGAAAGTAAAAACTAGGAATCATTAAGGTTGGAAAGGATCTCTAAGATCATCAGTCCAACCATCAACCCAACACCACCATGCCCACTAAACCATAGAATCATTTAGGTTGGAAAAGACCTTTAAGATCATCCAGTCCAATCATCTCCCATGTGAAGTAGTCACAATGTTTGGTTTGATGATGAGGCCTTCCGATAGGTATTTAAGTATTAGATTGGCTTATATTTAATATTTGGGTCATAAGAAAAGACCTTTAGTTTAAGCATTCAGTGCCATAGGCTGATCTTTTAGTGCTGTCATGTGTGTGGTTATTGAGGAGCTTTGATTTCTGACACCAAGTGAATTGGTCATCAAGGAGTGCTCTCAGTAGCATGCTAAGGATTGTGAAAATGATGTAGAAGACTGAACAACTAGAGAAGGCAGAAGAAGAAAGGAAATTTCTTTATGAACAGTGATCGGTGTGAAAATTACTCCTAAGCAGGTGGTAGGATGAGTGAGTGAGTCATGGTTTAATGGAGGTGGGAAGCATGTTTTTAAAGCCAGTCTGACATGCTATATACTTGACAGCTCTGGATCAGCATGAATCTCTAGTGCTGTCTGCTGAAACATTTTGTTCAGGTTCTAGGTGGATTAGAAATTAGAAATGTTGTCATTTATGCCTCTTTATTTTGTAAAATGATTAAATAATATTGTCTGTTGGATATGTTAGTACTTCCTTGTCATCAGAGTCCTTGCAGCTGTTCACAATAGCAGTAAAGGGCTGTAGCCTATACCTGGTTATCAATTACTGGTTTAAGAGACTGTTGTTTCCTTGACTACAGTATCAAAAGCCATTTAGACGTGGTGACAGGTAGTTCAGAGTGTCTTTTTCTCTTTAGAAAAGAATCTTGGTATTGCACTGAAGAATATCTTTCAACAAAAGGACCAGATGTGATATCAATACTGTGTGGCTATTTATTTTTACCGCATATGACACAATAGTCAATCTGTCCTTTTTTTATCACAAGGCTCAGTTGATTCTGCAGTGGGTTTTTTGTTTGGTTGGGTTTTTTTTTGCTATTATGGTGTTTTCAATCAGAAGAATATGTTTACTGATATGGCATTGTATTCCACAATATCCTGGTCTTTTGAATTGCCAGAGAACTAGAACTGATGGGTTTTTGTTTTGGGTTTTTGGTTTTGGGTTTTTTTTTTTTTTTTCCTTAGCCAAAGTTTGTTTGTGCCTGAATAGTTACCAAACATGAACTACAGTAAATGTTAGTGGTGGCACTTTTTGAACAGCTAAAAGAAGTTTCATATACCGTATTTGGATTGGCTTAAGAAACCTGCTGATCTTCAAATTTTAAAAGATTAATCCAATACTTAGCTTTTGCTTTAGCAATTAGCTAACTAATGTGCTAATACCAATCATTCTCCTATATTTCTAGTGTCAAAACCTTCAAGTTCTGTCTATAAATTTATTGCAGTCTGCAATAGTATGAACTTCCAATTTATTGTTGGCACAGAAATCTTCAGCAAACTGAAAATACAGGGGGAAAAAAGTAAAACTGAGTTAATATTAAAATAAAGCAAGGGATACTGGCCTGACTGGGAATATGGAAACCTGTATCTGAAGTTGTTTGAAGCTCTGCAGTGTTACCATTTTGTCACGTAAAGCAGCATAATGGTGAACTTTAAACCCAGTTTGCAACAGAGTAGGCAAGGCTGTGCTTACTGGCTTAACATTGGAACTGTAAGTACAGTAGTGTAAATGCTTTCTAGAGTTTTCCTTTAGGCTAAAAGTGTTTCTACTGTTCCTCATTATTATCCATCACTTCCTTGTTGCTGTCTCTTTTTCCTTGCCGTTAGCTTCTGCATATTGTACACTCTTGCTACCGGGAGCTTCTGAAAAACTCTCGCTAGCCTTACTGACTGAGTGCTGTTCCTTGCCTGAGACTCAGCAAACTGGAGGTAGGCCTCATAGCTAAGTTCATCTTCCAGCATGGTGCACTCTTAACAGTAAGAATAGCTTTGATTTAGTGGATATTAAGTGCAAACTTTTGTCTTGCAAGCCTAAATATCTTTTGGGCAAGACTTCAGAAAATTAGGGCTTGGTGTCATGATCAGGTCACTGTAGAGTTGCAGAGTAAATTCACGTTCAGTGGACTGTAATGGCGGTCCATGAATATGCTTGTAGATATAGAAACTCTGATCCTGCAGTGAAAAAATACATAGTTGCATTTTCTTGTATATGTTGAAGATGAAGGGTAAGCAAATGGTCAGTAACCATGGCTTAGCTCTGGAGTTAAATGAGTTTAATGGAGTTAAAGCTCTAGAGGGAGGGTTTTTTTGTCTTTTGGGTTTATTGGGTATTTTTGGGTTTTGGGTATTTTTAAGCCTTCTTTTTAGT